CCAAAAGACTCAGCAATGGATCAGCAGTTGCACCTTGTGTCAGTGGCCCCTCTTTGCCTGAAATTCTGTTAAATTCTGCCTGGAACCCAAAGACTCACAGGTCCAGTGAGACCATGAAAGAGCAAGGATATAATGAAAAAAATACTGACATATTCTGAGGTAATAAAGTGAATTTAATCTTTCTGTGATTTTTTTTTAATGTTTCTCATGTTATTAAGGGAAAGTGAGATCAAAAGGGACAGATATTCCTTAAAAACTTAAAAAAACTACAATAGTAGATTTTGTACCTTATTCACCTACTTTGTTTCTCCATTTTTTAACTGCTGTAACTCCTCTTTTCTTGAATATGCATTCTAACAGGAACATTCAATTTTTAATCTTACACAAAACCAAAAAAAAACAACAAAGCCCCCAAGGCCCCCCAGAAAATCCAGAAATCTGCTTGCTGCCCACTAACTGCAAAGACAATATAATCATCCTTTAATAAGCACACAGATTCCTGTTAATACATTCCTAACAATTGTTTAAAATTAAAAAGTATTCTTCGCATTTCTGTGTAAGAACAGTTCTAGACAGATTTTTTTTTTTGTCAGTAAAGATAGAAGGAATGCTTTAAATAATCAAAAGCTTCTTGTAAAATGCATCATTCTCCCACTCCCAACACACATTATAAATCAATATTCATTCTGTGTGTTTTTCCCAGCACAACCTCTGCAAAGCATTCAAACAGTTTTTAATGAATCCTACACTCTATACTTTTATGTTATGGCTTTCTTTGTATATCCAGAAAGGAACATAGGAAGGAAAATTACAGCAGACAGAAATATAAGGTGTGTTAGGATGAGATAAGTTACTTTCAGAAAAGTAATTTCAATTATTACTAACAATTTCAGCCAGTGTTGCTCTGTAGGCTTCAAAGAGTACTTGTAAGAGCAAAGACAATGTTTTACCCACTGTCAGCAACTGTAGTTAAGCAGGAATTAGCTGATACAAACCACCACAGAGATGAAAATAGCATTTATATTGGGAGTGCAAAAGAAAATGAGATGCTCTGTTACCTAAATTAGTTGAATTAAATTTTCATTGGCCTTACTGAATTTTAGTCACCCACACAGTTTGTCTTTATATTGCAACCAAAATCTTCTCTAGTTCTCATAGCATGTGAACCTCAAATCCCTTTCCTTTTACATCTATTTAGAATTGTATACAAGATGTTAGCTGGGTATATTTCTTCAAAGTTTAAATACATTTCTACTAGCTACTTTTCTTCATAAGTTCATTTTCTGAATATATTTAGTAAAATCAACTGATGAGTTTTGGACTGCACCTGGATCTTGCATCATCAGAAAAAAAGCAAATCAGAAAATCTCTTCTTCCTGCATCCCTTAAACATAACTGTTTGAGAAGTCTGGGTAGGAGTTAATTGTCTTCTGTCACCGTTACACATATCAGTCAATAAGGTTTTCACACATCATTTTTCTGTGAAACTACTACATTTTTAAAGACATATGCCTCTTTATCGCATTTGTTTTCATACACAAGGTGCCAGTCCATAATCTAGCACCCTTTGACACTCCTGTGACATATTTAATTGAAAACTCTTGTTAGAGTTCTTTCACCTATTATAATTCACCCATGCATTTTTTTTTAATTTTTTTTAAAAAAATCTTTTTTAAAATGCATCTTGCTTTTTAGAATGTTTGCATTTCTTCAGGATGCAACAGAGCAGCTGTGCTACACACCAGTTCATGCCAATGCATGTTAGAGAATCTCAAACTATCCTGAATCAATGTCATAAAGCCAGTATAGCTGCCTCCAGACCAACTCATCCTCTCTAGCAAGTGGAGGTCCTTCAAACAGAGGTAATATGATGTATCTTAGAACCATAACAATTCTTCTGACGTTACTAGAAACCTACACCATAGAAACATATTTTCATTTCTTTCATGGTTCATTTGCCTTCAAACTAAAATGAGTGAATGCCAGCCAACAGCTACTTTTCCTTTAAGTTCAGGAAAATCAAGTTCTGCTGTAGTGCAGCTGATCATTTATTTTCTCATATTTTAGTATAACCTTTTACTTATATGCAAGTGTGCTTTTAGTAAAACAACAAATATTTGTGAGAGATGGATTATTTATTTATTTCCTATAAGCATTATGACAGGTATTTACTAAGCATGTAAAACCTATCCTCAGTTCACTGAATACCAGATCTGTATTCAGTCCTAGAATTCAGTCCTAAAACTAATAATTAATTTAAATAGGAATTTTAACAATGACTCATATGGTAGTAGTTTTGTTCCTTTTGCAACTAGTAATTCAAGGTCCCAAACCCAAATATCTTTACTTTCATCTGAGTAAAAGGAAAAGGAAATATGAACCAAGGATAAAATAGGAACAAGGAGATATTGGAAACATATGTTAAATGTTCAGGGACTCATACTACAGAAAACTATAGATAAAAAAAGCTGCTAAGACAATAGAAGACTTACACTGATTACTTATCATATGCTTCATTTCTTAATTAATCTACTAGTTGCCTAAACATACTTTCAGAATGCATAGCATACCATAATAAAAGTGATAAAGGTCTGTTTTGTTCAGTAACAAAGTATGGGAAAGGAAGTCAGCTAAATCTTATCACAGCAAAGCTTGTCTCCTGCTGACATAAAAGGGAACTGCACAGCTCTTCAAAGGCTTTGAAGATGTGCAGCATTGTAATATTAGTCAAAGAGATCATGAATTTGTGAGTGTGTCATCTGATGAGTCCCCTATAACTGAATGTCTTTATTCCACCTCTCTGTGTTACAGTTTAACCTACTCAATGAGATCATGCCAGTGTCACACCACTGAAGCAGCAACATCTTTAACTATGACTCACTGACATCAGTCACTCTCTTGCTTTTTTAGCACACCAGAAAAAAACTGGCTTTGTTCCCTATAAGAGCTTCTTCACTTTTATGTTAATGTGATAAAAGAAAATACAGAAGCAACCCCAAATTATTCAACAGTTAAAGAGTTGAAAAAACTTCATGACATTCAATGACATTGAAAAAACACCTGGAACATTCCCATCCTTATAATATTATTCTCTAACTTGGTCATACATGACTGACACAATGCACACTGCAATTAGATGTAGTATGAACAAAATTATGAGATGTCATATGAAAAAATTAATATGATATATGTTAAGTTTCTCAGTCTATGAGCAGGTGTATGACTGAATATGTTCCCTTTTTGGATATGTTGGAAGACAGGGAACATGTAAGCATTTTGTGTAACCTTTTGAGTGACACAGATGTGCACTCGAATATAATAATTTCTGCACTTGTAAATTTCATTTAACTTAAAAACCTATTCATTCAGACTTCATTTAGATTCTTAGAGGTATATAAAATCCCAAGCATGCCAAATTATTCCAGAGTGAGAATATCTGTACAAATTTGCTAGACAGCTAATGTGATTAAAAAATTAACTCTTAATTCTTTGATTTTTCATACTTGATTCCTGTTTTATTTTTTCCCAAATATAAGCCTAATTTTGCTTCCCAACTTAGAGCTAGATATTGCCTTCTTCTATGAGAACTAACTGAATTAAACATTTGAATTTCATCATTCCTCCTGACAAGTCAATCAATTCAATCAACATTTTTTTTTAGGCTTAAATTCACAAAACAGCATTAAAAAGGGGACATAATTCTCACTGTTATTTTGTAAGTTAAACAGTAATGAATGACATGATCAATTTGAGCTATAAAATTCTAGAATAAATAATCTTGGTACTTGTTCCCTACAGATAAATACACCTTTATTTTTGATATTGCCAAGTGGTGAAATAAGATTATATTGTTGGACCGACTAATTAGAAATTATTTCCATCACTAAAACTGTATTTTCTATTTCACCAAATAAAGAAATAAGCATTGCTAGATTTCATGGGCTGTGATTGTTTAAGAACAGAAGAATATTTTGTAAACAGATCCAAATACATATTTTTGAGACCAGTTCAAATACGGCCACTCAGACTGAATCAATTTTTTGAATTGAAAATTAACGTTTATGTATTCTGTGAGGGGGGAAAAAAATTCAAAATCACTACATTTTGATGAGAAGTGATCTGGACAGTGCATCAATTCTCTAATCTCCACCAGCATAATTTTTAAAAGGTTAAATCTGTTATCTGAGTAAAATCTGTAAATACCACTTAAATGTAACAGCTAGTTCACCTCATTTTAGAGTTTTATGATTTGAGGTTTTTCCTATAATTGCTCTACTTCAAATGCTTTCCCATCAACCCAATTTTCATCTTTAGGATTAGAAACAGAGTAAAATAATAGAAATGAAAAAAAAAAATATTATACCAGACAACACAAATAACAAGATCAAAAGAGAATCTGTTTTTAATGAGTGGCTTGCCATTTGTCTAAAGGAATTAAAAAAAATTAAGATGATATCTTTGCTCTTACAAGTACTCTTTGGCATGAAGAACAAAGTGTGTGAAATAGTAAGCAAAATGAGAAAATCTGAAAATCAAACAGGTGGATGATAGTAGTAGAACCTAGTTGTTTTGAAACCATGTAACCATTTAACCATTTCTTAATCGTTCCAATGGGTACGATTAAGAGTTAACTACATGACACCATTCTTGATCACCTTTACCATGCTAATGGAGCTACATTTTTAGTTGATTTGTTCAATTCTTATTCCTACTTATGCTTCATAGTTTGGGAGTAATACAGGTCACTGAACAGCATTCTGTTAAGTGCTCAAAGGGAATACTAAGAAAATGTCTTTTTTTCTTTTTTTCTAAAATACTTATAAACTGATTTAAATGTGTTACAGACTTTAAAGAAACACCAGACATTAGAGAAAAACATTTTTGTATAAAAGAAAGTCAAAATAATGGTAAAGTAATTAAAAAAAAATATTTATCTAAGACAACAAAAACACTTCACTGGAGGTGAATGAAAATTACATAAAACATGAGAAACTACTTACTTGATGACTAACCAAGCATTTAGAAATATCTTTTCTATCAAACAGTCTTGGGAGCTTCCACTGAAGATAACAGAAACCTGACAATTCAGCAGCTTTCACTGAAACAGAACAACAAAATTTTTAACGTGATCAGAAAACAATGTTTTCCAAGATACTTATGTAGACAGACAACAGCATAGGCATTGGATTGTCCCTTACAGTAGAACATGAAGATGTTAAGATGTTTTTTTCCCCGGTAAATCTATAGGGTCAGTACTACAGTAGTGTACAAATTTTTATTTTTAAGCAGCTGTTCAAAATTGGAAATCTAATTGAAATAACTAAATGCACAGCAATGGTATTTTCAAGGTTTGTAAGTAGCTTGGGAGTAATACGTGAATTCATATCTCATGTCAAATTTAGGAAAATGAGCTAATTTGAAAATCTTCTGATTAAAATCAAATTAGATACTTTCATAGAGAAATAAGGAAGCATTGATTCTGAAACTGTTCAGAAGCTACAAAAAATACTCAAATGCCACATAATCTAGTCCCAATTTTGCACAAACCTAGAACTGAATCTGTTTTAGAGAATACTTCTCTTCATTTATATACATTACTTACCAGCCCTTCTCAAATACGCACTATATTATATAACCTCATTAAACACTTTGACTTGTCTTTGCTGTTATCACCTAACTAATCTCACAGTGTATGATACTAATAAAACTAATAACCAAAGAAGAAAAAATTAAAGATATATCAAATCGCCAAGAAATTATTTTTGTATTATTCCTGTAAGCACCCTATCAGAAAATACGACGTCTGTAGATTTGTAATTAATGTGAAACCATATACAGAATCTAGTTATACCATGTAAAAACTGAAATAAACTTATCAATTTAATTCTTTTTTTACTTCATCAGCTTTAATGTCCGTAGATCTGACACCGAAAGAGTATGCCTTAAATGGAAGACAAATTAGTTTTAAAAAAGCATATGAGATAGAGCATTACTCAGTATACTGTCAATTCTACCATTAAAATATCTGAACTTCATTTACATAGAAACTTTGTTAGCTTTCTTAGAATGCACTGCTTGCTTTAACATACTCATGAATCATTCATGATAAGAAATAGAAAAAACACAGGCAAGACTAACCCTCTGTTCCATATGCAGGTGGGATTTTTTTTACCCCACAACAAGATATCATTTTGCAAGTCAAGAAACCTTGCTATAGATAAGCAAGTCATCAAATATACCCCAAGTCCTTCCACAAGAATTTGGGTCAAGATATCAGCAGAGGTTGCAGAATTTTTATTACCATTCATTTGCCTCCTTGTAATATAGCTGGTAAGTATCAGAGAACTCTACTCACCCCAGAGAAACTACAGACAGTAACAGCTAGAATACCAGCAGCACCTATGTTACACAGTGCAAGCCAGTTACAAATAAAGTGTCAACTGCCCCAGAACTAGGCTGCTGGTTCTTGGTTACATCTGAGATGTGTCATCAGTGACATGACTTATTGCATGTAGGCTTGTAACTCTTCCATACAACAGAAAAAATATCAGTTTTGCTGAGTTTACCCTGTAAAAATATTATAAGATTCACATTCCTATCTGTTCTTTTCCCACCTTTCTTCAAAATTAGGAAATTTCTTCATTGCTAAATTGTCTGGTTTCATATTTGCTAACTTTTTCTGGTTCACTTCCACTAATCTCACCTTTAACAATTCTCCTGTAGTCGCAAAGCAAGAGGATAGATTTGCTTTTAATATCCCACTGGGATAACTGGTCTCTGGCTAATCTTACAGAAACTGTTATTGATAGCTTTACGAATTATAGTTTTATTAGGAATGAAAGCTGTGTTGTTCTTTGTATGCATGATCTTGATATGTTTCTTCCTAGTATTAAGGTTCTGTTTATACATTGAGATATGTAGAAGTCATTATAATTATTATTAATATTAATACTAATATTAATATTAGTATTAGCATACTAATCCTCAATTACTGTTGTAATTATTAATTAATTTTAGAGCTTGTTTCCTCTAAGCTACAGGATTTACAATGAGAGTAACACAATACATTAAACCATTGTGTACTATTTATTTATTTATTTAATTATTTCTGTTAGTGTGTTTTCTTTTGATCCCAAATTTGCCCAAGAGTTTTTCTTACTCCTACGCTATTTCTTGGAAATTCAAGACCAAATTTTTCTTCCCTATGTGATGTATAATTAGTTACCTGATATAGATTGCTTATTATCTGTCAGAGTTCAATTTTTTTCTGGGTTTGTAAGTGTTCAGCTCAAAGGTGAATAAATAAGCCCAATAGGGATTAAAAGCTCTGAAAAGTATCATAATAGAAAAAAAGCTGTTGGTAGATGGGAAATTACTGAGTTCTGGTTGAAAAGGCCAAGGGACATTAGTGGTCAGCCACCATCTTCTTTTAGGCAGACATTCACAGCTAGAAAACATAATAGGGGAGACTAATCAAATATAGGCATCTAACGACATCCAAATGGGACAGTCAGATATAAAACTGGATTCTACAGTAGACCTTTTGAAGTGGTCTTCAGGACATGATTAAATATCACAGAACATCTAACATGACCTTAAGACGGCTAAATCCCACTCGGCTATGCTGTGATGTTTTCAAACAAGATTTGAGATCAGTCCTACACATGCCAGGAATAGTGAAATGAAATCACTAGAAGAGTATCTGCCTTTTTTAGATGATGACTCTCCAGCTTTAGGGCGAGCTGCTTTTACCCCTGAGAGAGTATGGTACACAATAAAACTATCTTAGGTATATCACAGTTCAATAACATACACAAAACAACTGGTGACCTGAGAGGGTGTATGGAATCACAGATTTTGTAAAATCTCCCCCTTCATTTGCTTTGAAGTGATACATATTTGAAGATATTTTTTCTTCCAGAGTTCTTAATCTTAAAGAGGTTAGTTAACTGGAGAAGACAGCTTAATTACAGAGAACTCAGATTCCAGGATTGTCTAACATTGTTCTCAAAGTAACTGAGATTAATACTAAAGAACACACAACAGATTTTCTTTTGTTGTTCTGCAAAACACCTTTCAGACTTTTGAAGAAAAATTACCTTGACTCTTACCTCTCACAAACAAAGCTACTCTCATCATCCTTCAAAATTACTCATCAGCAATGTAACATGATGTATGATGTATTTGATGATATATTTTAAAATGGCTAGCAAGGCAAGGTCATAAGAAAATTATACTGTTTGTAGCAGATTCCTATTACACATTTCAGTCCATAAAGTTTATTTACCCTTTGTGAGTTTCACCTCTAACCGTGTGGCCCTGTAATGCAGTGCTGTCATTGCCACTAGGTAAATAACAGGTAAATAACCTCTCCAGAGAGGCTGTGTAGTCTCCATCCCTAAAATGTTTCAAGACCCAAGTCTTGAAAGACAAACTGTTCAGCTATCTGCTGTCAACCATGTAATTCGAGAAACAGGTTGGAGTACATGACCTTCAAATTTCATTGATATTAATACAAATAAAATGTACACATATTGTCTCTTTGTTCTTATTTTCTCATTAAGGATAATTGTAAAGCCATACATACATTCCTCTTTTTTGTTTTATGAAATATTATGGATGAATTCTTGATTCCCTGAAACTGGATGGGAAAACTGCCGGTGACATTCATACAGAGAGTTTTTATCCTGCTCATATTAGACAAAGTCTTGTGGATACCAAACACAAATGGAAGTCGAGACTCTTGAGTTTTGATCACATATGTTCATGTAACTTGTGATTTTAAGCAAATACTTCCATATGCACTACAGCAGGTAAGGGCATGCCTACACTGAAGCACATTGTCTATCTGAACTTTAGTAGAGCCTTTGACATTACCTTCCACAGCATTCTCCTTCAAAACAAAGCTGGCAGGAGCAGCCCATACCCCAGGGAAGATATGGGCCTTTAGAAGGACCTTGTCAGGCTAGAGAGATGGGCAGAGAAGAACAGCCTGAAGTTCAACAAGGCAAATGCAGGGTCCTGTACCTGGGGAAGAATAACCCCATGCACCTGCACAGGCTGACCTGCTGGGAAGCAGCTCTGTGGAGAAGGACCTGAGGGTCCTGGTGGACAAGTTGTCCATGAGCCAGCAGTGTGTCCTTGTGGCCAAGAAGGCCAGTGGTATCCTGGGATGCATAAGGATGCCTGCAGGTCAAGGGAGGTGATCCTTCCCCTTTGCTCAGCCCTGGTGAGGCCTCATCTGGAGTGCTGTGTCCAGTTCTGGGCTCCTCAGTACAAGCCAGACATGGAGCTCCTTGAGTTGGTCCAGCGGAGATGGATGAGGGATGACTAAGGGACTGGAATATCTCTCTTACGAGGAAAGGCTGAGAGCGTTGGTTCTGTTCATCCTTGAGAAGAGATGACTGAGGGGCGATCTCAATGATATATATCGGTATCTGAAGGGCAGGTTTCAAGAGGGTGGAGCCAGGCTTTTCTTGGTGGTGCTACGTAATACAACAAGGCAATGGGCAGAAACTGCTGTAAAGGAAGTTTCACCTGAACGAGGAAGAACTTCTTTACTGTGCAGGTGACTGTGCACTGGAGCAGATTGCCCAGAGAGGTTGTGGAGTCTCCCTCACTGGAGATCACAGAATCACAGAATATTGAAAGGGACCCACAAGGACCATCGAGACCAACTCTTGAGTGGCCTATATGGTATCTAACTCACAACGCTGTGTTATTAACACCATCCTCTAACCAATTGAGATAATCTTAGGATCAAGAACTCTCTGGAGGCAATCCTGTGCAATGCGTTCTAGGACGACCTTGCTTGAGCTGGGAGGCTGGAACAGACAACCCACAGTGATACCTTCTATTCTGTGATTCTGTGAAACTCGCTGTTCATGGCTTGGATGGGCACACTCTTCACTGAGTAAAAAGCTGGCTGGATGGTCAGGCACAGAGAAATGTGGTGAATGGTTACACCCAGCTGGTGGCCAGTCACAAGTGGTGTTCCTCAGGGCTCTGTACTGGGGCCAGTTCTGTTTAACATCTTTATCAATGATCTGGGATGAGGGGATCAAGTGCACCTTCAGTTAGTTTGCAGATGACAACAAG